CACACACACACACACACACACACACACACACACACACACACACACACCCCCTAAGGATTTATAGCCAACAGAACAACCAAAGGAAATTCCTGGTTTCAAAATTATTTTCATTTCCTACCCCTGAACTGACTCATCAGGCTTACTTTCCCCACCCCCTTACATTCCTCCAGCTATGTTGAAAGACAGTGATATGAGGAATTATAGTGTTTAGTACCTGACAAAACTGCGTAATTAAATGGCACTAGGTACCATCCTAGCAGCCCCTGGCACTTAAGAAGGCATTCTCCATAAAAACAACCTGGCAGCCCAGTCTAAACTATACTACCAGAATTCTGCCTTAGCCCTTAGAGAGGAAACCCACAACTAGGAATGCCCTTAATCAGATCTTATCCCACTACCAGAAATGAAGGACAAATAACACTGATTTCTCCTAGAAGTTGCTTTAATCCTGAACATGAAAGATATCTTTTCCTTTAATGGCCTCCAGGATTTGAGAAATCTGTAGGAATAAGTGGCATTTTTCTAATAGTCTCTGTGTTGGTGTAAATGAGAGGGAAAAGGAGGGAGCTGTTTTTCTACAGCCTTGGGGTCACTGGTGAAAGGGTTGAGGGGCCTGGATGAGCTTTCCCTCTCCAATCTTTCCACTCTCAACATTCTAAATATGCCTTCTTACCTTCAAATCTGTCCTTCGTTGAAATCAATGAAGATTCCATATGAAGGAAAACTACATATGGATTAAAAGGTTGGAGCAGGGAGGATTGGGGTGAAATTGTTGGTAAAGCCAAGACAGGCAATGACACTATAGTTCCTCAGGGTTCTCCAATAGGGATGAGGGTTTGGAAGATCAGGCCATTGGGGAAGAAAAAAGGTTTGGGTAAGGGGAAGCAAGGTTGGGTGCAATTCTGAATGTTAACTCAAAAATGTTCACTTTCACTCACACGCCCGAGGACAGCAACAGGAGTCTGGGCAACACGGGCATCTGACGTAGCAACAACAGCTGTGTGGACAGCACTGGCACCAACAGATTCCAACCAGGAGGAAGAAGAGGAAGACTCCTAGGATCACCAGGCCAACAAACACCCATTCTGGAAACAGAAGAGAAAATCTATACTAAAGGAAATTCTACTTCAGAAGAAGGGCCTCCTGGGTTCACGCTCACACTGTGAAACAACAGCTAGGACCCGAGGAAGGGAATATCTCCTAACAGGGGAGAGAGCCCACAAACCCAAAGAAAACTCTGGAAATGAAGGGTGCTGAACCGTCCCGGTGTGGAGACAAGGAAAGGGTGATTGAACTTGTACTGGGAGCAACAGAATGACCAACAAACATGAAATTATGTGGTAATGCAGGTGAATTTCACGGTTATCTCTTAGGGAAAATGCTCTTCAAATTGAAGGTGGTATGAGAATGACTAACAGAAACAGCAGAAAAATACTTGGGCTGCCTTTTGGATTTTACAACCATGAGGTTTGGGGGTTCTGTGATGTGTGTGTCTTCCCAGACCATAGCAGTTTGATCTCTATTTATTATATTAAGTCTACTTTCAAAGTATGTTTGTGTGCCTTATGTTCCTGTTTATAAATCTACTTTCTCCTGATCATTGCTAACATGGTCCCACTAATCCCTTTTCAGACTCATCAAAAGAATATGAGCCCCCTGAAGGCAGGGAAGTTTTTGTCTTTGAAACCCCAGTGCCTAGCACAGTGCCCCAGTACACAGGAAGTGTTTTATAAGTGCTTGTTGAATAAATCGATGAACGATTTTTCAACATTAGCCAATAACAATCATTTAATAAGTACCTATTTTGTGTGTGCTAGGCACATTGCTAGCAGATGGAGAAAGACAAAGACTGCCAACAGTCTTTGGCTACTTTGGCTACTTTGCCTACTTTCAAGGAGCATTAATGCTAATTAGGGTCACTTAAACCAAGGTCTTTCACGTAAGCCTTCCTTTATAACAAAATTGGGCTGGAGAATTCGATAATCAAATAAATCTTCAAACTATAAGGTCACTACATGATCTAATCGTCTCATTCTACGGGAAAGGAAACTGACGCTTAGAGGAATTAAGTGACTTGATTGAGGACATAAAGCAAATTAAAGCAGAAATGGGATTTGAATCCAGGTCTCTTGATCTCTTGTCTAGAGGTCTTAGTGTATGGATTGGATGCTACCACCACATGATGCAAGCATATCACATTATGGCGGCCAGTACAGTTGAGGAATGGAGTTTATTAAAACCGAGTGATGGGACGTCTGATGTAGGTGTACTTATATCTGGAGTATACTGAGGTTTGCTCATCAATGGAATATGAATTCCCCCTCCAAGAACTGGGACAGATGGGTGGACATTACAAAGAGGTACTCTAGTTTGCCATAAGGGGAAAAAAAACCCATTTCATAATAATGTGGCCTCCTTCAATGTAGAATGGGCTACCTTTAGAGGTAAGAAGTTTCTCTTTATCGAAAGTCTTGGAAGAAAGCCTGTATGACCATTTGTCAGGTATGTTGTAGAGGAAGTTATCTGTTTGTTTTTTCCCTGGGTTAGATCAGATGGTCACTATGGTCTTTTCCCAGCTCTGAAATGATGATTCTGTGATTCTCATTCTTTTCAGTGACAGAATGCATGATCAGAGTTCCATGAGTCATAATAACATTGTACCACAGAACACTGATGCAAAACAATGTAAATGAGGCCTTTTATGTCCGCTGGTATCACATACGCACGCCAAAAAATTTATCGCTTAAGAATAGAAGCATGGAACTATAGAGATAAAGAAAGTCAAGATGTTACCAAGACTTGAAGGATACATCACTCAAATAGTTTTGTTTTGTCCTTCAGTCTCAAAGTAACATCACTCAAATAACCAAGGACAGAAAGATGGGAACTTACTCCAGATAAACCAAACAATACTATCAGTAGGAAGGAAGGTTCAGACCTACAGGGCAAGATAAGCAAAATACAGTGATCCCTTGTTGGGAATAGTGGCTGTAACATCTCTTTGGAACAATGTATGCAAAACTTTTATTTGTGATCTAATAGTTCCTGGCCACTTGAAGGAACTTTGGGTGAAGATCGTCCTAAAAGGACATTCATTTGGCACTAATTAGGGGGAATTCTACATTTAGATCATCCAGGTAAGGGGAAAAGAGCTCTCAGAACTTAGCACAGCAAGGAATAAACACTAAATTCTACTTTTAGATTTTTTTTCTATTTGTCTTGCCTCTCTGGGCCAACAAGGTTCTGAAAGCCTTGACCAATTTGAAAGTAATAATTAAGAATGGGGTGACTCCAAGAGCTACCTCTAAATAGGAAGCAAGTTAGGCCTGGGGGCTCATGCCTAGTCTTCCTGGCCACCGTCTGTCTCCTCTCTCTGCCACCCTTCACCCTGCTGCATCTGTAATTTTTGTAGTTTGGTGTTCTGATCACATTACTTCTCTACATTTGAAATACACTTCATTGGTTCCCTTTTCCCTACTGAATAAAGTAGAAATTCCTTATTCTGGCATTCAAAGCCCTCTGTGATCTGGCTCTAACCTATTTTTTCAAACCAATCTCATACTACTCTTCTTTACATATTCCACCCAAACTGAACCACTCACTGTACCCATTCCAATCTTTTCTTGTCTCACTTTCCTACCTTTGTTCACATACCCTACCAATGACCCCAACCACTTGTGGAAGTCCATGACTTCTTTCAAGGTTTAACTCAGGGGCTATCTTTTCCATGAGACCTTCCTTCCCCTTTATTCCAAATGAGAGATGTCTTCATCTTAAAATTTCTCACATGAGATAATGTATATAAAGTGCAAATGTCAAAGCTCAGAAAAATGTCAGCCACTGTAATTCCCTGTCTATGTAGATATCATATTTTCCCTAATTTGATGGTAAGATCTCTTGGGGTCTGACAGGGCCTTTTTGATTGTACTTTTGTGCTCAAGCATCAAGAATATTGCCTTATTTATAAGTAGGCAATCAATAAATGTTTGTTGGATTTATTTTTCATTTTTGAGGCTCCCAGCTCAAATCCAATCAGAACCAATGACTAGGAAAGCCCCTTTGTAGTGATTCTTGTCACCTCATTTTATGGCTCAGAAGTATTAGGCAGCTCTTGGATTATTTGAAGATATCCTCAAAATTTGGCACATAGAAGACCTACATGAATGGATGCAAAGTGAAATAAGTAGAACCAGGAGAATACTCTACACGGTAACAGCAATATTGTATGATGAACAACTATGAATGACTTAGCTATTGTCAGCAATACAATGATCCAAGACAATTCTGAAGGACTTTTGATGAAAAATGCTATCCACCTATGATGAAGTCTCCATGCAGATTGAAGCATACTTTTTTTTTTTACTTTATTATTCTTGGCTTTTTTGGTCTGCATTTTCTTTTGCATCATGGGTAATATGGAAATATTTTGCATGACTGAACACATATAATCTATATTAAATTGCTTGCCTTCTCAAGGAGGGGAGAGAAAAGGGAAAGAGGGAGAGAATTTGGAACCCAAAATTTTAAAAAATGAATGTTAGAAATTTTGTCTTTACATGGAATTGATAAAAAAATAAATAAAAAATTAAATACACAAAAAAGAAAGTTGGCCTGTAAGCTCCAGTCTCTCCTAGCCATTTATCTAGGAGCTATGCATATTCTATGATTTATAGCTGCTTCATCCACTACACACAGACTATACAATGTCAATAATAATAATAGCTCACATTTGTGTAGGCTTTAAGGTTTGCAAAATGATTTGCAAATATTATCTCACTTAATCCTCACAACAACCCTGGGCAGGGGGGTTCTATTATTATCTCCATTTTACAGATGAGGAAACTGAGGCGGACAGCAGTTAAATGACTTGCCCAGGGCCATATAGCTAGTAAGTGTCTGATTCAGGACTTGACCTCAGGTCTTCCTGACAGTCTATCCATTGCACTATTCTATCCACAACAGATGTATGTGTTTACAGGAAAAGGAAAAAAATGATGAATGCATTGAATGAAGCTTAAAAAAATATGTGGGCAAAGTGGCACAGAGAATTCAAAAGGCAGTAATTGTGTGGTAAAGAAAATAGGGTGGTGATGAGTTTGACTAAAAGTTGCACTGCAATATAAGCTGTTGTTCAACAGGTTTCTATAAGAATATCAGTTAATAATGAATGCACAATGGCATTTACTAGTTTTAGTTGAGACACTGGGATAAATACACAGACTCTGTTTAAGGGTCTGCATTCCTAACACTGAAGATGTCCCCATCTCAACTTTTTTCTTTCACTGCCCAGGGCTATCAATGGAACAGGGTCTGAAGGCTATTAGGCTCTTCCCAACACAAACAGTTCATTCTGAAAGAGATCATAAGCATCTACACACAAATTGCACAAAAATAAAAGGTGAAATTAGTATACAGTGCAGAAACTGGACAGACAGACTAACAGAATAACAAGTAAATAAGGAGTTAAATGACTGAATACCTGACATAATCTTCACAGCAAAACTTGGCAAAAGAGCAGCAAGCCACCCTGTCCTGCCTAGAAGAGGCAGAAGGAAAAGAAGGAAAGAGGTTACTCCAGGGGAAAATGCCGCCAAAAGCCTGGCCCCTACCAGTTATGCACCCCCAGGCCATGATACTGATCCACAAGCATTTTTATGAATCACTGGCTCTTGGTCTTCTTTGCCCTCATCTACACTGGGTGATGATCTCCATCTGATTCCATACTGGGGACAGGGAGTGGGGGTAGGGAGAGATGGATATGGAGCTTTTCTCTTTAATCCATTTCTAGTAGGAGAGAAACTCTGCTTTAATACAGTTAGGGACAACTGCCTGAACAGATACACCATCTCTTCTCGTACACACAACTCAGATCATCCCCACTGATACATACACTCTTCCCCATAAATCACAAAATCTAACTCATTCACACTCAAACGTCCAATCCATATTTTCATGCCTTGCTCATTCATACAGACATGAACACACTCATACTTTACATCCACATAAAAGCAGATGAATTTACACTTCATTTTAATCTTGGAGTTATCATATCACTAGATGATGCTATTTATGCTGTAAAGACTGGATTCAGTGATTAAAATATTCAAATGCAGAGGGAGGTGAGAAGTAGATGAGTTGTAGACTTTTCCACCCTCCTTCTGCCTTCAGAAATATCTGTTACACACATGTATAGGGGACCGCTTTTCCATATGGCATGCCCAACTGAGGCCATACGAACAAAAGAGCTTTTCGTACAGTATAGCATGATGGATAAAGAAATACAGTAGGCTATGGCAGCCTTACCCCCAGGTCCTCCATGGTACATTTGTGTAGTAAGCAAAGCAAATATCACGGCAAAAAGATTTTACTATTTCACATCAGGTAACAAAGACCAGAAGTTGTTTTCTAAATTTTTACTAGGTAATTGTCAAACATGAAGTCATTATTTACTAACTATACTGTCCTGTCATAATAGATCAAAGGTCACTATTATACTAACACATGTCCTACCCCAGACCCAAAAAGGATTCTGCCTCATCTCTGTACCTAATGTGTCCCCACATTTTTGTACAGAGGCTGTGGAATGTTGCTAATGTGCTCTGTTCATCCAGAAGGCAAGTAGCGACAGAATGTTCAGGCGAAAATGTCTTTCTTTATAAAAGTTATTGTGTGAGTATACATTTTGGGATGAATGTACATCACTAGCTGATGATTAGTCAACAACTAGGAAATCACTTAACTAGAATGAAAGTGATGCACATTTGTAAAGTGCTTTAAAGTTTACAAACTATTTTCTTAATAACAACTCCATAAAGCTGACAATGCAACTATTATCTCTATTTTACAAATTAGGAAACTAAGCCTCATAAAAATTCAGTGACTTACCCATATTCATCCAGCTAGTAGGTGTCAGAGTTGAGCCATATCCTTTTTCACTATATCACCCCTGTCTATGAACAACCTAAGGATGGCTCTTGTCTTCATTAAAGGATCTTAGTACATCAAAGCATGTGTTTATTGTTTGTGAGAAGGAAATAAGTTGTGCTTGTGTTTACTTTTTAGTGGTCAAGACAAAGTGTTATTATAATTAATTATCAGAGTTCACATTTATGCCCTTTTGATGCATTGACACTCCAAGGAGAAAGGTCATATACACAAGTCAATATATTTAGAAAAGAGAATATCAAATGCAATCTACTAATTTTGTTAACTTGGCAAGTATTAGCCGGTTTTCAGACATTAATTCTAGAATACAGAATGTAAACTCCTGAGGGCAGGGACTCTCTTTTTGCTTATATCTGTAGATCCAGTGCTTAACACACAAAACTTGGCACATAGTTAAGCGCTTAGTGAATACCTGTTTCCTTCTTTCTTTCCTCTGACGTGTGCATACATGCAGGTTCCTTTTACATATATATTGCATGTTTGTGCACATGTGTGTATATATAATTGATAAAATGCATATTGGAAGTATCATGGCAAGGAAAGGAAGGAAACAATCATTTATACATCACCTATTATGTCCCAGGCACTGTACTAAGCACTTTACAAATATTATTTCATTTGATTCTCACAACAATCCTGGGAAGTAGATGCTATTATGATTCCTATTTTATAGCTGAGGAGACTAGGGCAAACAGAGGTTAAATAAGTGCCCAGGGCCATACTGCTAGTGTCTGAGGCTGGATTCGAATGTAGGTCTTCCTGATTTCAGGTAGCCAAGTGCTTTATCTGCTGTACCACCTAGCTGCCCCCACTATGGAAAGAACTCTAGATGGAGATTCAGGAATCCTGACTTTTATCTAGTCCAAACTCTGACATCAACAGGGAGTATGACCTCAAACAAATCAATAAACTTTTCTAAGCTTGTCCTCATCTGTAAAAGGAAGGTGGTGGAGGGGTCAGACAAAACAGGAAGCTCTTCAATTCTCATATTCTACGATCTATGTAAGTACATGGGTGTAGACTTATCTCATGTATGTAAGACAGCTCAGTACATAAATATTTGCCCATGTTCTTCCTGGTGATGCAGTGACTTTGTGCTGCTAAACACAGAATGATGCCAGATAAATGTTGTAGGCAACAAATTCAATGTGTTCAAATTAAAATTTGAAAGCTAAAATATCAGAGATTTTTCATGCATATATACACATATATACACATGCATACACACATGTATATATACATACAACACCTATATATGTATATTGTTATATATGTACACATTATGTATATATGTATGTATATCTATATATAAATATACACATACATAACTGTGAAATACACACACCTCTATAGATAGATAGCTATCCCCACGGAAGGCAGAGGAGGAGAACAGGGGGAAGGAGGTAGCCAGCCTGGGGCTTGCCAGTGATGGGGACACTTGGCCTTCATCCCTCCTCTGGCCACAGCCAATCAAAGATGCTTCAGAAGGAAGAATTCTCCCATCGTGCCCCAGGGCAGGGCAGTGCCAACAGGTTCTGCAGGATGGAGGGGGTACTGAGTGGTTTCAGAATCCTGAGCTACACTGGGCTTTGGAGAGAGCAGCCAGGTACCTTAAAAGTCATTAAGACCAACCCTCCCACTTTATAGAAGGGGTAATGGAAACCCAGGGAAGTTAGGTGATTTGCCCAAGGTCACCCAAGTATTAAGGAGCAAAGCTATTATTAGATTTGAATCCAAGTCTTTTGACTCAAAACCCAGTTCTCTTCCTACAAAACCATATTCTCTTCTCTTGTACCGGAAGCACACATGTTCATACATTCTTAGTTGCATAGTCACTATAGAAACATACTTTGCATATAGAACAAGCACAAAGTTTATATATTCCCTACAATTCCACGTTTAGCTTTCTATCTTAGTTGCTTCCTGCTAATTTACATGCTGGCTTGGAGTTTTACAAAGTTTCCCCAAATTTGACTGCTTTTGTACACACATGAGGATCAGAATATTCAGGAACTTTCTTTAATTCAGCATCTACTTCTCTACTCTGTCTACAAGATTACATTCACTAACGTCAGCAAAGACTTTGCAAATCCCAAATGTTTTCCCACTCTTATCTTTCTCATTCTCATTTTTGATACTAGGTATCACTATATTTCATGCATATTAACATACAGAGGAAGACACACATTATTTGCAATCTATATTCAACCTAATTATATATGTATAAGTACCATGGATTTGTAAAGCACAGATATATTTTATTGTTCAGTTGCTTCACTTGTGCCCAACTTCCATGACCCCATTTGGGGTTTTCTTGGCAAAGACAATGAAGTAGTTTGACATTTCCTTCTTCAACTCATTTTACAGATGAGGAAACTGAGGCAAACAGGGTTAATTGACTTGCCCAGGGTCACACAGCTAGGAAGTATCTGAGGCCACATTTGAACTCAAGTCCTCCTGATTCCAGGCCTGGTGCTCTATGCAGTGTGCCACCCAACTGCCAAATATATATTAGTAGCAATGCATAACCAAAACAATGCATATGCATTAGCTGTAATGTGTATACAAGTAATTGCTTTTCATCATGGCAAACCACTCACATGTCTTAGATGATGGGTGCCATGACAGTTATCTTCTAAATCTATGCTAGATGTCACTAACACACGAGCTCTTATTAGCAAATCAATTGATCAAACAACAAACATTTACTGAGCACTTGCTGTGTGTCAGGAACCATACTAGGCTATGAGACATGAAAGAAAAGCACGAAACACTATCTGCCTTCGAGGAATTGAACATTCTACTGACGCAGCCAATGGAGCTCTGTGTGATACTAACATGTATGCGGTACCAGGCCCAAACAGGATGCTCTTCATTTCTATACATGACATAAGCCAATAGAAACATAAGTTCTTTGCACTCAAAGAAAAATCCTTCCTATTTATAACTTATAATGACTTGTACCCCAAATATATGATGACCCCTTTCCCTTTCTTGCATGCAATATACAACACTTACAATCTATTTACATATGCTGTATTTGTACTGAGTTGTTTGTATAAGTAAATGCCCTCCATATTTGTGTTAATTGTTTTAGATTTTAAAGTCTTGCAGGGTATTTTTGATGTTGTTGCTGTTCAGTCATGTCAGTCATGTCCAACTTTTCATGACCCCATTAGGAGTTTTCTTGGCAAAGACAATGGAGTAATTTGACATTTCCTTCTCCAGCTCATTTTACAATTGAGGAGCTGAGGCAAACAGAGTTAAGTGACTTGCCCAGGGTCCCACAGCTAGTAAGTGTCTGAGGCTGGATTTGAATTCAGGTCTTACTGACTGCAGGCCTGGCTCCCTATCCACTGTGCCAAGTCCTTTTTTTTTTTAACACTTAACTAAAACTTCTCTTTCAAAGTTATCAATGATTGCCTTAATTATCAAATCTAATGGCCTTTCTCAATCCTCACCCTTCCTGAGCTCTCTGTAGTATCTGACATTGTTCATCACACTTTCCCTTGGATACTTCCTCCTCACAGGGTTTTCAATCAATCACCAAGTAATCATCAAGCACCTATGATGTTCCCAAGCTGGGCTAAG